TGTGGCAGGATTGTGGACCCAAACGCAGGATTGAGAAAGCAAGATGTAAAGTCAACAATGCAGCTTTAATGCTGACTGCTCACCAAAGCACATCATCCAAAACAATTCAAAAGGATTTCAAAAGGCAGACAAGTCGAAGAACTCATTAGACTACAAGGGAGCGCACACCTAAACGGGACAACTCAACAAAGGGCGAGAGGAGACTGAGACCATGTACAGAAAATGTACTGAGGGAAGTAGGAACAGGTGAGAAACACAGCTGAAGGCACTCAACCAAAGAGACGGGGAAGTAAAACTCAACGCAGAGAACAACGCTTTTAAAACAAAACAGGAGGAGAGACAATCAGGAGACACAAAAAGACCCAAAGACAAACACAGAGACTAAACAAGACACTAAACACAAGGCATGAACACATGAACATTAAACATTAAACATTAAAGAACACATGAGCACACACAGTCTCCACCCTAAACAAAACAAAATCCATATATCCAGGCTTAAAAACTTAAGCCTCAATAAACATGAAGCAATAATTCAGAGTAAAATGCAACTTAAATTCATTAAATCAATTTATTACTCAGTTAAATTATCATTAATTACAATGTGCTTTGGATAAACTCAATTTATATCAGTCAAGTACATTTCATTTTACATTTATATATATATATTTAGTTAAAGTCATAATTTTAGGAAGATTTATTGATTGATTAGGTTTTGTTTGTTTTTTCTTTTTGCTTCTTTGATTTTTGGGTGAAAGACTGAAACAGAAACAAAAGTGAAACCAAGAACAGAACTTTGTTTCTCTATTAGTCAAACTAAAACTTAAAATAGAAATACAAAGAAACAAACAAGGCCATGCTTTGTTAGATAAATGGAAAACAAACTCAAAAACTATGTGAGCTTCAGCTAAATTATAATAATTCTTTAACATATTATTTAATCAAATGTTGTTTTTTTTGGTTTGCTTTTGTGTTGATACACAATTGTACACCATTAAACAATCTGTAATACTTTTAATTGACCTGTATTAAGATAACAAAATCAGAGCTTATCTTTTAATTGTGAGATGATAAGACATGGTAAAAAAAAGTGCCTGGCTTCTGTGCTCGCTGTTAGATGATGAACAAATGCTGCCCTCTATTGTCTTCACAGATGTGGTGCCAATACTCACAGTTTAATATGACAAAAATTCAACTCTGTTCTCTTACAGAGACGATTACACAACCTATTAATTAAACTGGATCAAATTCCAACAACCTGCCTCGTGCTTTCAATGAACTGAAACAGGACAACTCAACAAAGGACATTAGGAGTTGTCTTTTATACAATTTTATATAATTTCACTGCAAAATAATAATTTTATTCACTGCAGAAATGAATTTGCACCTTATAGCAGTTTCACACAGAGACCCGGGGTCTGTCTAATGAGCCGTGCTACGAATAATTCAGCAGCTGCACACACAGTCTCTCAGATTTATCACATTGCTTTCTCACTGTGCTTCTTTCATTTCATGCATTGTTTTTGTGGATGCTTTTTTGTTATTCATATGCATTTCTTCATTTAGATATTTGTCTTTTCTGCATTGAGCATCTGCTACAGAGCATTTTCATCAGTGTTCCTGACTTCATGCTTTTTCATACAAGCTCTTTGTTATCAGGGAATCAATAAAATGATCTCTTGTTCTGGCACGTCAAAGTCAAAGCTCTGAGTTTGGATACAAGATGAGGTTAAGTGACTTAAGTGAGTTTTATGACAAAGTGGAGGGGCTGAAGCTATAAGAATGTGAGGAATGCTCAGACACTTCGAGATCAGGCGGACACCCACCCGCGCTCATCTCCCCTCCGGATGGTTTATGCGCATAAAGTGTTGAATTGTATGGAATAAAAGATTGTTGATTGAGCATTTATACACCGAGTATTGTCCTTCCTTCAGCCCAAAGATCAAAAGAATTGGGAGGGAACATGCAAAATTGTTGTCTTTGACTGAGTCTACTTTACTTCACATGACCATGTTAGGACAGCTTATTCAATGTGAACGCACAGTAATTAGAAAAGCATGTCTACATTTCCTGAGTGACAAATACAGAATTAATTACTGTAGTCTAAGACTTGCTCATCTGTGGCAGAAGGTCCAGAATGAAGATGTTATAAAAGATCAGAACTTTGAAGATGATTTGTCTGTGTGTGTCACAAAACTGATTCAGTAAACAAGTCGATTATAAGTGCTGTAATGAAAAGTATCCTGTCAAACCTCATAAATAAAATGAGCCAGTTCAGCAATAACCTTTTACCTACTTTTCTTTCAGTGTCTCTGATGGAGCAGATGTATGAGTTAGCAGCTAACAGACATGCCCGAGGACTCTCCCTATATCCATGTTATAAAACACTCATACAGAAAGCTGCAAGGGCCCTGTACAAAAAACGAACAACAACAGTCGATCATTTATTAGCTCATTTATAAACTCATGTGGTTTGTAATGTTTCTTAAAGGTAATTTCATGCACAAAGATTCTTCCTGCTAGTCGTTCTTCTAATAGTAGCTCTGCAAACTTACTGGTTTGTAGAGCTATGACCGATGGGTAGTGTGTGCTGTCAGGATTTGATGGTGACTGGAAAATGAAATGTAATCTGTTTTATTCTGAGAAAACAACAGTGCAGTATTATAAAGTACAGTACAGCATATCTGTACAAACATAGACACACTGTGTCACACTCATGTCAAACAACTGGCTCAGTTCCAGTTTTTCAAGTTCTTTTAATACAATAATCTCTTGCTAGTATACACAATACATGCATTGTGGTTGTCTCTCTCATCTATAATGGCCACTGAGACATTTTTACACTGTACAGTCTATTAAGTTTCATGTTTTAAATGATGCTAAATGATGAACAAATGCTGCCCTCTATTGTCTTCACAGGTGATGCTACGTGGTGCCGATACTCACAGTTTAATATGACAAAAATTCAACTCTGTTCTCTTACAGAGACGATTGCACAACCTATTAATTAAACTGGATCAAATTCCAACAACCTGCCTCGTGCTTTCAATGAACTGAAACGGGACAACTCTCTTGCACCTTACAGCAGTTTCACACAGAGACCCGGGGTCTGTCTAATGAGCCGTGCTGTGAATAACTCAGAGCCAATAATGTATGTTAGATTGTCAGTGGCTTAGAGTTTGTGACCATAACAGTACAGAAGCAAACTATTTGAGTATAATTCATATGCAAAAAAAAACACTCAAAGTTATAAGAGTATTATTGATTGCATATGTTTCTTCCAGTTTTTGAACCCAATTAGAAAAATGAGACTTTGTAAAAATCTCATATTGTTAGAGTCCTAATGCCAATATGATTCTTCAAAGCTCCTGCTTTGAAATACTGAAGTTTAAAAATTGACCTGGTGAAAGATAATAATTCACAGTGACACACTGTCAGGATAAATCTTTAATATCACTGTAGTCATCTGAATCAACTTTCTCGAATGTGCTGCGAATGTGATGCGTTCGAGACCGACCCATCACTAAGTTTGAACCCCAGCGGCAATGGTTTGAATCCCATGCTTCCCATCTGCTTACGCTCTGTACTCTTCTCAGTACACCTTCAGCGAGCCTAATCTGTAGTCTGTAGAGCTCCAGACTCACTCTGCCTTTTTACCCTTTTCTTCAAATCCCTCCTTAACTTTTCAATCTGTTCTTCATGTCCCAACAAAGGCTCCTAACTCACTCAATTTCCCCTCCATCCACACAATTTAGATATCAAAACATACCTATTTTCCTCATTGCCATTAGTTAGTTTTCTTTAGTAGATAGTTTTCGAGTTACACAAGGTTTTTAACAGGAAGAAACGGCGGTTTTAACTTCTCATTGTACTCTACAAATGTAAGTTTTGTTCATAGAGCTAGCGGTAGCCCACGTTTAGCTCAGAGAGTGGAGAAGGCGTTAGCGGTCCTGGTTCAAAACCTCCCAGCAACAGAATGTTTTGAGCAGACACCTCAGCTTTTTTGCCTCTTTTCAGCAGACCATTTGCAGCTACACGGCAGTCACTACTTTACATCCTTTCTTTTTTGGTGGATACCAGTGCTTGCAGGTAAGACCCTTGAAATGCCCACTATTTATAGAGAGCCAGCCAGTGTCAGTAATGTTAATGTGCTTGTGTGGAGCAATGAGTGTATAATAGAGGAAAGACACAACAGCACTTCTTCCCATTGTGCAAAAATGAAGCCAAAATATCCCGCTTGTGGGAGCTGCACGTTTGGAGCCGTGACTTCAGGCTCCCGTACACTTTTTAGGTAGGCAGACTGATCCAGTTTATCTGTTAATGGGTTTACCTCGACTGACTACTGGGTCAGTTAAGGTTAATACAACCACGTCATTATAAAAAAAGGCACACAGCTTATCATCTTATCTTCTACAACACCTAAAATCACTCTGTTAATTTGTTTGCTAGATTAGCTGCTAGCATAAACACTGTGTTAGAGGCTTGCTGCTAGCTAGTTAGCATGCTACACACCTGTTACTCTAATACTCTGCATTGTTTGAATAATTCAGCACTTCTTAGGTTGTTCTCCATTTTTAGACAGTAATGAGATCAGCTGCACACTCCACAGAAGTCCAGAGTTACTTTTAATATTAAAAAATGTAATGCTGTCCTTTGGGTTTTTAACAGAGATCTTCACCAGCAGCTCCCTGACAAGGAAATCTTCCGAACTCCACTGTAGGCACGGCCCAGAAGATGGATAAACCCAGCATTTCATGAACACACTGGAACCAATCTATCTTCATAACAGTGAGTTTTATCAACAGATCATATGCTCTTGTTACATAGTCTCATGATAACGATTATACCCAAATCAGTGGTGTAATATAACTGTAGCAGCTATGTGGTGTGATCACATGTACTGTGTGTAGAGCAGGGCGATATGGCCAAAAATATTTATCACGATATATATTTGAAAATTTGCGATAACGATATAACTGACGATATAATTGATGCGAGACAAAATACAACTCCACAACATTACTAGCGCAAAAAGACAACCTTCCATTTATTTTCACTTAAACAAGAAGCTGGTTTTTATGTACATTAAAGCTTTATAAAAATGTAACAGTGCAAATGCAAATTCCTTGCTGAAAGTTTAACCAAAAGGCATTTCCAGTAGAAATGGGCTGACATATCCTGAGCATAACCATGTATAATATCCACTGAAGTTAAAAAGAGGTGCTTTGCAACATTAAACTGCAGTGTGCAGTACGTATTTTTCGGACCATAAGGTGCACGGGATTATAAGGCACATTAAGCGAAACAAAGCAGTCAGATAAATCAAACTTTATTAAACTCATTCTTCTTGCTTCCTCCACTTCTGTACCATTGATTCATTAATGTTGAATTCTCTGGCAGCTGCTCTATTCCCATGTTGTTGCAGTATATTAATGACTAACCTCGTATTGTGGATGGATTATCTCAGTTGTTCTCCTGACTGAAGTTTGGTCCGTTTACAGCATCCTGCCATGCGATTGCATTTGTCTCTAACTATCAGGAACCTTAACGTTAACTTTTATAAGTGGAAAAGTGTTAGTGTTCGTCCTCCAGCTTCACTGTTTATGTTATGCTAACATAGCTGTGTCGCTAGCGATCACGTAGCACATCATTATATACCAGCTAGCCCAACTTCAGTAACCCTACAAACGTCACTGCTGTTTAGTTTCCTGTCTTCATTTATGTTGGAAGTGATAGCAGAGCTGTACGTTTGAATTTTTTCAGAAATCTCTCAGTCAGAACATGCAATATCATGCTTAGGTAACTAGCGAAACTAGCGAGCTAACTTCCGCTAGCTTCCTGCTAACTTCTAACTCCGTTAAATGTAATAAATTTTGTTTTCATGGATGCCTGGAAGTTAAACTTCATAGTTACACCTGGTAAAGCAGCAATGCTGATCGTTTTATTAAAGATGAAAGAATTTAGACAGTTTTTAACTCTCAGTGATGCTGCAGTGTTCGTTTGACCTGAAAGATACGGAGTTTAGGACCCAGATTACTCCCAGATTTAAGAGCATCTTAGTCCGACAAATACGACAATAACGACGGCCGCTTGCATGTTCTGCAAAAAAATGTGCTTTGTCGTGTATCTGACGGACAAACACCAAACCAGTTCCACATCACTGAAGTTGCACCATTTTTACAAACCAATTCTGGTTCATCTGTTTCACTCAACAATCGGCCATGTGCGTATGAAAACAAAGGCACTGCGCATGCGCGTTTTACTCATATTCTATCGCGATATTTCATTTTCCTATCGTTGCCTAACATTATACCGGTATTACCGTGAACGGTATAATATCAAACTGGGGAACCTGATCATAAATGCAAAAATGTTTCTCCATTGAGCTACAAGTGATCAAAGAAAACATGATCGGAGTGCTTCAAAGTGTTGCGTCTTGGTCAAAGGAGCTTCTTGGACATAAATGAGACAGACGCCAGTCAAATTTAACAGGGGTGCTGGCTGAAAATGAAATCTTACCCACAGAAAGTGTGTAAATCTTTAATAATATTTATTTGCTTGGGTATTTTAGGAATGTTTTTCTAAACATGGAGATAAAAGATGGAAGAAACCGATCTGAATTTCCCATCTCCTGCCTCCGATGATCACTGTGACCTCAGAGGGCAACTGGTCTGCGAAGCTGGAACTGGAGTGAGGGAGAGAGGATTCATCATCCAGCTTGAAAGAAAACATCCAGGTAAAGTGATGTGGATCAGTGGATAAACTCGTCTCTACTTTTCTTTTTCCAGGTTCAGGTAGAGCTGGCTTATGAATTACTAAGAGCACTTACCATACTGTACCTGTAAAACATGTTTTTGTATGAGACAGATTTGTAACAGAGGCCTTAGTCTCAGTAAGCCTGAAGTCCTTTCCTGATTTATTTTGCAATCTCTGCTCTTTCATTGATGCTTCCCTTTGTCCCCTCCCACATCACTTTGTTAAATTTTTTAGTGTCCAGTTTTTTGGGTTTTTTTTTTTTTACTTCTGTTTGAATTCATTGTGTGCTTGAGCCTGCAGACTGTTTGACAAAAAAAATAATCCAACTAGAGCCCTTAGATCTGCAGATTAGTTTCTTCTGACTATCCCCAGAACTAGACGGGAAAACAGAGGTGACCGAGCTTTTGTGATCGCTGCACCCAAACTCTGGAACACTCTGCCCCTTCACATTAGGTCTTCGCCAACAGTCAACATTTTTAAAACCTGCTTGAAAACACATTTGCACTCTCTAGACTAGTCCATCCATCCATTCATCTTCTTCCGCTTTACCCAGGTCCGGGTCGCGGGGGCAGCAGCCTATGCAGAGAAGCCCAGACCTCCCTCTCCCCAGCCACCTCCTCCAGCTTATCCGGGGGGGAACACCAAGCGTTCCCAGGCCAGCCGAGAGATATAATCTCTCCAGCGTGTCCTGGGGTCTCCTCCCAGTGGGACATGCCCAGAACACCTCACCCAGGAGGCATCCTTGTCAGATGCCCAAACCACCTCAGCTGGCTCCTTTCGATGTGGAGGAGCAGCTGCTCTACTCTGAGCCCCTCCCGGATGGCCGAACTTCTCACCCTATCTCTAAGGGAGAGGCCAGCCACCCTTCGGAGGAAGCTCATTTCCGCCGCTTGTATCCGCGATCTCGTTCTTTCGGTCACTACCCACAGCTCGTGGCCATAGGTGAGGGTAGGGACGTAGATCGACCGGTAAATTGAGAGCTTCGCTTTTACACTCAGCTCCCTCTTCACCACGACGGACCGGTGCAGCGTCCGCATCACGACAGACTAGTCTGTTATAATAATTATTATGCATGTTTACTATTTTATCTCTACTATGTGCAGCACTTTGGCTCAACCCGTGTTGTTTTTAAATGTGCTTATAAATAAATTTTGATTTGATACTGTAATGAGAACAGTTTATAAGTACAGTGCAAGTGTCCATGAGTGTTAACAGCACAGCTAACCTTCATTCAGGGTGGAGGTAGGGCATGTTTGACAGCCTGTGGGTAGAAGCTCCTATTGAGTCGGATTATCTTTGACCTGGTGGACCAGAGGGAGGGGGAAACGTGAGTGTCCAGGGTGCGAGGGGTCCTTGATGATGATGATACTGGCTTTCTGCTGAAGTCTGCCAGTATAGATGTCTCTGAGGGGGGTTAGCAGTTGAACCAGAGTGTGCACAGTGTGTCAGATGAACATATGAGACACTTTGACTCTTCAGTGCAGTGTGGAGCCTAACAAAGATCTGTTTTGTGTCCCAGCTGATCAGCAGGAGGAGAGAGAGTCTGACGGAGCAGCAGAGGAACATTTTCAGCCTTGGACTCAGCTGAGCTCACTACAGAGAAACGATGAGCTCAACACAGAAGGTGAGGAAAAATACACTAGTTTCACCAAATATTTCAATTAATTTAAGTTATACATATATGTACACATGCACCCACACACAAAATACACATACGACTGTGTTGAAAGCTTTGAGTAATGAACCCTTTTTAATAACAATAATTGTCAAGTGTTCTCGTCTGTGAGGTGCCCACACTTGAAAAAGAACAGACTTTGAATTTCACTCAATTCTATTTTGACCAGCTAGTTAGATAGCTGATAGGTGAAAAACCTTTCAACACAAAAAATAAAGAACATTTCATTAATCATTCAGATAAATTAAATGCATTATACAGAAGACAAATGAAATAACAAAAATATATACACTTCAGTAAAGCCACTTAACATAGCTAAAGCTAAATACTTTTGTCTAAACTATCATTTAACCCAGTTTAAGTTAGTTTTACATTCATTGGTTTTTAATCACAGAGCTGAGTAATTTCAAACAACGAAGATGAAATAAACTGTTCTTAAATACACAAAATGTGTCTACCTTGCATTTTTACACTTTTTATAACAATTACATTTTTAAAGTATACATTTTAGAGTTTGCAAATATTTTAATAGAGACTTTAACCAAGGATTTTCTTTTACTAAGAATTATTTTCCTTAAATTAAACCAAACATATTTACATACCGTAATTGTCGGGCTATAAGCCGCTACTTTTTGCACAAGCTTTGAACCCTGCGGCTTTTAGTCAGGTGCGGCTTTTCTATGGATTGTCCATGAGCGGATTTGTTTTGTTTGTTCCGCTGTTGTACGGCACTACGTTGCCTGGCGGAAGGATCGGGGTTCAAGAGTGGTATGTTGGTCACATGTCCATCCGCCAGGCAACGTAGTGCCGTACGAAGTAGCGCGAAAAACAAACTTCAAAGTAGCGCTACGCGTTCAGCTGGAGGCGTGGATGATGAGCGGCGATAAACTTGCGAAAAGCAAGTTATGCCCAACTCCACCAGTGGATTCTGACAGCGTGGAAAAGTGTGAAAACATCCACGATCACCAACGGATTTCGAAGGGCTGGACTGCTGCATGATGGAGAGGAGGACACCGCCACGGCCCTTCTGAGGGTGTTCGACTCTGACACTGACAACGAGGATTTCTTTGGTTTTGAAAGTGACAACGAAGGAGAGAAGCGGAGAGTGGATGACGAAGCCATCCTGAGCCTGTTTGTTTCCGACACTGGAGAAGAGGACTTTGGTGGTTTTAGTGCGCAGGAAGAAGAGAAAGATGGTGGTGAATGACTGACTTTTCTTCTTGTTAAAGCCGTGTCACTGCACCTGAGCCTAAAAGGTAGTCCGAATCTATTTTTCTGGTGTGCTGTAGGTTATTGTTATGTACTACATTTGTTACTCATTTATGAAGCACAGTACATGTTTCGTACTTGTAATTACCGCTACTTGTACATATACTAGAGATGGCACGATACCACTTTTTTATGTCCGATACCGATATCATAAATTTGGATATCTGCCGATACCGATATGAATCCGATATAGTGTTTTTTAATCAACAAAACTGTTTTTTTAAATATCTTGCTGCATTTTGTATAAGTTCATACTCAAGTTTAAAACAACAACTACACTAAAGCTATTCTGTTATACCTGTATGCAAAAAAAAAAATTTCATAGTTCAGCAATACTGATCAATCTAATAAACTTAAACCTACACCATCCTCCCTATTCTGGTATTTTAAAGAGTACTTAGCGTAAATATTAAGCAATACC